CTAGAAAATGAAGGATAAATGCTCTATAAATGATATTTTTTTAGTCATATAAAATATCTACTTGCTTAGTCAGGCTCCTCCCAGAGTGCACATATGTCCCCAGAAAGAGAGACAGAGATGGAGACAGAGATAGAGATGGAGAGTTAGAGAGATTCATTGTGTAGAATTGGCCTGTAGAGTTATTGAGGCTGGAGATTTCTGTAACCTGCTGTCTGCAAGCTGGAGCAGGAAGGCAGGAAGGGTGTGCAGTCAGCCCAAGCATGAAGGCCTGAGAAACTGAGTGCAGAGCAGAAGGAGGTGAAAGGCAAAGCAAGGCAGGTGGCGGCGTGGAAGGGCAGGCTGCTGCTCCCTCAACCTTCAGGCTATTCAGCCCCACTGGATGAATGATGTCCTCCCACAACCTGCTTTACTGAGTCCACTGATTCAAATCCTGAGCTCATCCAGAAACACCCCAAAGATATCTCCAGAAGCAATAGTTCAGCTGGGAGCCCTGTGACCTCTCACTTTTATAGTAAATTTAAAGGTAACATTGCTGCTGGCCAAGCCCAGACTGGTCTCTGTCCTCATGGCTGAGAAAGGATAGGTTCAGCCCCTGTCCTAAGCTGCTGCGACACAGACAGATAACACATAAGTGACTCTAGCCAGAGCAAAATGGGACACATAGTCTTTTCCAGCTCCACCTGCTCCTGCAGAACCTCCATCTAAGGCCCTGTTAACCCATGATCAATAAATTGTCTCACTCGCTCACGTTCTCGCTCTGTCTCTCACTCTCACTCTGTCTCCCTGTCTATATCTCTCTATCTTTGCTGGTACCAGGCCAGAGCTTGCAATGCTCTTGCCTCAGCCTCACAGAGAGCCGGAATTATAGGCTTGCACTACCACCTAGGGCTACCTGGTCTTTTTAAGGAAAAGCATTAGGTACTCATCTTTTCTCAGCTATCAAATCTATCTGTGGACTGCATGATGCCACACTGATGAGGGGACCTATGGATCTGCCTCATCTCCAGAGAAGGAAAGAAGGTTTTGGGACCTGCATACAGGCATTCTCCCACCCACCCATCTGAACTGCACAACCTCCTCACTTTTGGTTTTATATGGTCCACTATTGTATACCACCCCTTGATCCCTCAGTGGTACACATCTCACTGGCCTTGAACGGTGTCTGAGACTCCTCCAGCTTCATATAACTCATAACCCACAGGTGATAAAACACCTTTCACATAAGAGGACCTCAAGGAATAGCCACTGCCTCAATAAACAAGCATTTGATTGTCAATCTTTTCCACTTTTACACATAAACAACATATGTGATTTATCAATATATAGAGCACTAAATGATTTATGCCTTTTTGAGAGAGAAAATGAGACACCTCACCTGGAATCTTCTATTGCTTCAATAGACAGAACCCCTACCTGTGTGGAAGAGACCACTCAATCTGGTGAGTGCCACTGGGGTAGGACATGCCTGGAAAGGTGTCAAAATACAGAGAAAAATCTCCAAAGAGGAGCTTGTCCTTGGGTTTAAACAATAGGATACAACCCAAGACACGAATGCACAGATCACAGTGGCTTCTGGTATATCCAGAGAGCATCAGATATGGTGTGAGTTTTATAAGGACAGAGAAAATCTACACAAATTATTATGAAGAAAGTTCACTGGACTTTCTGATGCTTGATGGAGGTGACAGCTGTGATCAGGAAGTGGCAGCAGTTACTTTGCAAAGCTAGTCTCAAGGTCATAGTTGGAAGTTCCACTGACAGTTAATAAGAAGAAAAACAGTCTAAAGGATAAGGCAGCTTAAGCTATTTGGCAGCACTGGCCTAGCTAGGCAGTTTCTGCAGCATCATTTGACCTAAGCGCTTCCTCCCCATGACCTCTGAGTCTACTATAAATGACCATGGACAAGAATGCTATTTGTATGCTCAATTTGCACTACCCTGATGGGGCAAGGAGATAAGGCAGATTTCCTACCTCCAGGAGGAGGTGGTCTAGGGTGGATGACTGCACCAGTGACTCAGCCTGTCTAATTATTTCAGGGAGATTTGTCTTCTAAGTCTGGAAAATCCCATTTCATCATCAGAAGAGAGAAAGATTAATGGAGGAAAAGAAAAGAGTTTATGTTAAACACTGTTTGTGCAATGAATTGCCAACATTGCTCCAGCCTTCTCAACAACAGACTTATGGATCCATTTCAGACTGACCTTTCTGACCTTGCTGAAAACACATTGTTGCAGAGCATCCCTTGGGAATTCCTCAGAAAAGAAAGTAGAATGATCTGAGTTATGACATTGCTTGAAGTTTAAAATTTGGTGACTTTACTTTATGGAGTTCCTAATTGCTTTGGTATTTGCCAAAAATCTTACATGTGAAATAAAAATATAAGAAACCAAAAGATGCAGAAATGCACCTTTCAGAAAGCACAAACTCATTTTTCATTCCTTGTTTTGTAAACAAAGGAGAGGGGTCCACCCTCAGATCTGCGTGAAACACTGGTGAAGCCCGGTGGATGAAAACTACGTGGAATATTTCAACATGATTGAGTCTGAACGGTGCAGCACACAGGAAAACCACAAAAAGGCCCCGCTGGGATTCGAACCCAGGATCTCCTGTTTACTAGACAGGCGCTTTAACCAGCTAAGCCACGGAGCCCGCACACTTGCTTGGGTTCAAATCAATAGGGAAAAGGAATGATATTTGCTTTCGTCATGTCTATTGCATTGAGTTCTGTCAATGAAGAGCAGTCATTGCTGCTCATTCTACCGCAGGCAAAGCACCGGCTGGCCGTCGGGTAAGACGGTTGAGGGCTCACAGGAGCACAACCCTGGTGTTGGGCAACGCGTTCACACCGGAGCACTCCTAGCACCAAGAACCAGTCTCCGAGGAAGGAGGCTCATAATTTAAGATTCTAGTATCCCTTAACTCATTTCTTTCTGTAAAATTAGTTTTGACTAGTTTACAAGGTTCTTGCTTGTAAGATTAACAGAATTCTAGGGTAGTGCCTTAAAAATGCAAGACTTTTAGAAATTAACACCCTAATCTTGGGGGAAAAAAATCTCTTCCCTGAAACTGTACACAGAAATAAGCACGTGTCCACGACTTGATTTGATATCAAATTGAGAGCATTCATCAGAATTTATATATGGTTGTGGAGGCTTGTGTATTAGTACATATTCCCACCTTATTTGTTTCTCTGTTATAAATCTGTCATTTGGAGAACAATTTGAATAGGAAGGTTTATTAAAATACTGAAAAGTATAAAGTGTTGTCATGGCTATGAAAACAACTTCCCAAGTGATTGGCAATTTTGAGATCTACTGTCCTGATGATTGTGCCAAAACCAACACGTCAGTATTTCCAAAATGCATCAATATCTGAAGGTTTTCTGTCAGTCTATAGGGTAGCCACTGGCACTTACCTCTGCTTACAATAAAAGTCCATGTGTCCCCCCACATTGTTTTACATGTTCTCAGGCTAGGCTAGAATGAATGCCTAATTATGCAAACACTAGACTAGAAGACGGTTTTTAAAATGTTTTGTACATTTTCAGTAAGTTAATTTTAAAGGTGATTATACTGAGTAATGCAGGTGGGCATCATCAAGTCAGTTATAAGACTTTAAACAAACAAAATCAGCTTTTCTAAGAACAAAGAAATTCTATTTGAAGACTATTACATCAGCTCAGCTGAGCTACTCTGCAAAAACTTCAGGCTGCAGCCTGGTAAAGTGGTGCAAGCTTGGAATCCCAGCATTTGGGAAGCTGAGACAGGAGGATCACTAAATTCAAGGCTAGCCTGCACTAAATAGGAAACCCTATCTCAAAACAAACAAACAAGCAAAACAAAAAAACAGACCTGCCAATCAGGAAGCTGCCAATTCCTACAAGACTGGCAGAACAGGAACTGTTAAAAAAAAAAAAAAAAAGGCACAGGCAAGAGAAAGATTCAAACAAGGTCAAGATGAAACTGTTATGGGACTTTGAGGTGCTGGAGTCTCCTAGAAGTGGTTTTTAGGTATTTTCTGACCAGAATAAAGAATTGCTCAAGAGAAGCACGAACTGTAGCAACCTTTTATTAAAGGTAGAAAGAGAAACAGGCTCTGCAGAGCAAATTTGGACCAAGTAAAGTAGGAAAAGAACTACACCCTACAGTGTGAGGGCAGGCCACCATGCAAGACAGACCACAGTGGCAAAAACTCAATGTAAACTGTCATTTTTATATCACCCATTCCTAAGGGTGATGTCAGATCTAGGCCATCCAAACAAAAACCTGCTCTCCAGTTCACACAAGAAATCTAGTACAGGATTTTGGGACCTGTCCTTTGCATGTGTCCTGGGATTTTGTAATTAATAGGTCACACCTACTACTGCAGCCAGTTTTGTCACACCCTAATCTCTGGCTCAAAACTATATTTTGTAACAGGGCTGACAAACCTGAAGCAGCTAAAAAATACATTCAGATCTGCAAAACAAAGGAGTATCTTTACTGACAAACACCACAGAGACAGAGCTTCCAGCCAGTTGAATTAAAGCTGTCGTGGAGATATGGGGTAGAACCTGAGACTTCTGAGATGCCCTAGGATCTGACTTCCAGGTCCCGAGTGCATGATGAGGTTAAATAGGACCAGAAGATCCCCCAATTTGTTTCATTTCTGAAAATCCAGGCTAAGTGTTCATGTTTACAGACTCTTGGGTAGAAAAAAACATCTCTTCTTCTTTTTCTTCTTTCTTTATGGATATCTGTGACATTGGATGGGGAAATAAATTTTTATTTTCACTAATTTATTACTAAAGTTTTGTGTTTTCTTCTGTGGACAACAAACCTCAGCTTTTATATCATTACTAGAAATCACAAGTATTTTCACATCAAAATATAGTGGTTGCAAATTTCCTAAAATGTCATTCATATTTATTACTGCTTCAAAAGTACAGTATTTAAAGAAAACAAAACAAAACAGTATTTATTAGATCCCTCACCTAGGCCAGATATTATCATCTAATGCATTAATAAAGGAGCCACTCACAAAAAATGAGCACAGATATGCTATAATTTTAAAATGTTAGCATGTTTTAATATAATGCTTTTGGAAATCTTTAATATTTATAAATAAACATTTATATTTATAAAATTAAATATTTATAAATATAAAATTAAATATTTATAAATAAATATGTATAATATTTATTTTTTGTATATTTATAAGTATTATTCTGAGATGGAGTCCAACATTATGTAACTGAGTGAGGAGTCCTTGGTAAAAAGCTAGTAACAAGAGCTCTAATTTTTCTATATATAGGGAGGAATTCATAACTAGGTGCTTCTGCACGAAAAGCAGAAACACGTGTATGATTTTGTAAGGACTGTTGAAACCATATGACATAAAAACATGTTTTTCTAATCTCAGCAATATATATATCCTCAGTATCAGTCAATAGCCTTCAATTCATTTAAAATGCGCACCAGGCACTAGGGGAAGATTCCTCCTTAAAAATTTCTTCTCAAACCACACATTCGAGACGCTTGTTTGCTTTGAGAGTGTTCGCAAATGTAGAGGAGTTCTGATGAACCTTTTGAAGATGTCAGATTCTGAGACGTCCTGCGGTAGAAGCAACATGGAGTCAGTGCCTAGCATAGTCTGGTTTAGTAAAGAAAAATTTTAAAGACTACAGAGAAATAAGACAAAAGGTGGATCATGTCACCCTACGACAACTTCCAATATCCTAAGCCCTGTCTCTAATTTATTATCTTTTTCCACCAAGCCATATCAGTTACTTATTCAGTGCTGTATTACCGGTCTCAAAACTGTTGGTGTTTTCTCGAGGCGAGGGTCACATGTCACATGCATGGTGTCATCTCTAGGGCCACGAGCAGCAGTACCGGCTGTAAGATTGGGGGCATTCCTGGAAAGGCGAACTGGAGCATAGGAGCGGGCTTTCTTTTCGTATCTATTTTTAGCTGAACAGAAATCACAGACCCAAAGGGCAAAAAGAGCAGCGGACCGGCGCAGCTTCTACTCTGGATTCACACCTTCCGGAAGAATCGGAAGAGGCTACTTCCTTATTAGGGGCCCCGCCTAGGGACACTATGCGCGTGGGGCCAGTGGCGCAATGGATAACGCGTCTGACTACGGATCAGAAGATTCCAGGTTCGACTCCTGGCTGGCTCGGTGTGCGCTTGCTTATTTTTGTTTCTTTCTTCTGGCCCACTGGCGCTCAGTGGAACAGGAAAATCAATGTAAAGTCACGTTGATCTGGACTCTTGGCGGCAAGGCAGCCACGCTTCTGACCGAAGATGGCACCATCACTGATTTGCAAACCGAATTCCGCGCATGGCCATGAGGTGGCGCCAACTACAGCGCGGCTGCAGCCACGCGCAGTCCCTAGGCCGCGCCCACTCTGTTCGGGCCGCACTGTTTAAAATAAGGAAACCAAGGGGAAGAAAGACATTCAAAACTGGATGTTCAGAATAAGCAATAATAATGGTCATTCGGTAAGATTATTAAGCCTTTTTTCTACTCTCTTCCATTCAGCCTGCTTGTGGAAAAAGCACACAGGAAGCGGCCTCAGATTTGCACGTAGAGCATAAATTTTAAGTGTATCCTTAGCTGCTGGGGGTTTAAGACCCTGTGCCGAGACGCATGCGCACATCGAGTGACTCATTTTGGGCCCCACCCCCAACAGAGGGCGTATCTTGCTGAGAACTAGGGACCAGGAACAGAAGTTCCTTATCGGTTTCCGTAGTGTAGTGGTTATCACGTTCGCCTCACACGCGAAAGGTCCCCGGTTCGAAACCGGGCGGAAACATCTTTTTCTCTCCGCCATGAGATTTTCCAAAAATGTAATAAAAAATAAGTCTGTACCCTTTACAAGCAAGTTCACTTCTTTTCCCTCTATTGCTGGCCTGCTCGGGCTGCAGGCCTCGGGGGGCTGTTCCGGGCCTGCCCGGTTCGGCGCGGGCGGCTGCAGCCCCGGAAGCGCATCCTCATCCCCTTCCTGTTCCCGCGGCGCCGGCTCCACGGCCTTTGCAGTCCCGGGCGCCGCTGGCGGGGGAGCGGTGGACTCAGGTGGGCGCCGCGGGGCCGGGCCGGGCAGGGCGGCCGGGTGGGCGGGGAGGGCAACGAGGGCCGAGCGGCGGTGGCGGCGGAGACCTGGCCGGCCCTTGGCCCCGCTGCACCCCGCCAGGACACACGGGCCGAGCCCTCTGGAGGGAGCATCGGTACCCAGGGAGAAACGGGCACCGCGGGCGTCGCGACTTGAGAAGAGCCCCGCGGCGGCGGCTCACATCGGACCTCGCTCTCGCACACGGCCCGCGTCCTGGTTCCCGGATCCGCCAGGCTCTTCCGTCTCCCGCGGCGACAGGGGCACCCTCGGATCCCCTCTTTAAATGTTTTAGCACTTAGGTCATCACCCATGACTGATAGGAATGGGACCTCTTTGGATCATAAGAAAGGGCTCTCTTTATGCAGAGAGCTGTTTGCTATATGTCATTTTAAACATGGGTTTACAGAGGCGTTGCCTTTCCCAACCCAGTTACTCCTTCAATTTAATACTTTCTCTAAAAGTCCCCTTAGTGCTTCTTCATGCTATTTCTCTTGATAAGGTAACACCGTGGCCAGCACAACAGTAAGCATTCCGTGTGCTCAAGATCAATCTTTGCAATAGTTTTCATTCAGAATCACTTCTGTGCCATCCAAAAATAGAAGCAAGTTACTCGGTACTCTGAAAGAGGGCAAAGGTCCCAGGACCTCAGGAGGTAACAAGAAAGTGTCCTCTTGTCCCTCTCTTGTCTCTCCTACCAGTGGGTAGGAATAGTGCAGCTGGGAAACTGAGTGCCCCAGACTGCTGGACGAAGATGACCAGATGTTTGTGAGTTTAGGGCTCACCCTTCAGATGATACATTCTTCTGTGATCCAGCAGCAACCTCACCCTTCTAGACTCCCTGCTCCTTTTCACCTTTCTTCCGTCATTTCCCATTCTCAATCATCTCCAAAGGAAGCTTATCTTAGATCTGAATACTTTGGGAGATGGAGAACTCGGAGAGTGCCTGGCGCTACGTGACTTTCTGTCCCTCTAGCACACCGCATCTTGCACAGGAACCTTTTGTTTTATTGTATCTTTTATACTATATACTTGTCCTTTCTAAGTGTGGTGTCAGTAACCTTCTAGGTCTTCTCTTCAACCCCAAGGCACTGTCTCCAGAAGTATCAGGCAGGGTGAGGATAGCTTTCTGATTTTGGTGTGAGGTTGAGCTTCCCAGAGTTAGAACTGCCTCCCAGAAACCCTGTTCAGCAGCCGTCAAGGAATAAAGGGATACAGCTCCACAGCGCCTTGCTTGATGTGACAAGGGACGGTGGGGCTGTGAGCAGTGGGAGAGGTGAGATTTGGTCTGTAGTTGAAACAGACTTGCTGTGCAAGAGAAAGCAACTTTTGAAAACAGTGCGACCTTAGAATTAACCTAATCCGAGATGTGTCCCAAGTTGCTGAGCTGCTACACTATTCCCTCCGTATTAGTTGGCTAGTACTGTCGTAATACAATGCCGCAAGTCTAGGTGGCTGAAACGAAAGAAATTTATTTTCTCACAGTTCTGGAGTCTAGAAGGCCAAGATCAAGATGTCAACAGATTTAGTTTCCTTTGAGATTTCTTATTACATCCTCACAAAATCATCTCTGTTCCTCATGTCCCAGTTTGTTCTTATGAGGACATTGGCCATAGTGGATAAGAACTCATTCAGAGGACTGATCATATCTTCTTTACCTCATTAAAGATGCTATTTTCAAATGCAGTCACAGCCTGGGGTAATGTGAGTTATAACTATAACATACAAATTTGAGGGGGTAACAAGTCTGTAATACTACCTTGTTACTGACACACTTCTCTAAAATTATTCTTATGGATGACTGTAGCACATTTGTATCCTGATTTATCATGTGGATGTTTTGTTGAGAGGAAAAATACTATTGCTTTTTTATTTACTGTTTTCTCTTTTTAAAAGCTGTTACTGTCAATTACTTTAAACCTCCAGATCTTTTCCAATGAAAAAATGCAAGTCTTCATAATAAGGATTGAGCAGGTATCTTTTCTCTTCTGAGGCTACTGAGGGACAGCATATTTTTCCATTAGATTGGCATTTGGAGCACTTGGGAGGCTCAGGCAAGAGGATTGTTGAGAACTCATGGCCAGTCTGGGCTACATAGGGAGTTCATAAGAATCTTTCTATCCCACATTCCTTTCTGGTCACACTGTTAACCATACAGCTGACCTACACTCTGGCATTCTTCTCAATTTTTTTTTTTTTTTTTTTTAGAAATTCTTTTTGCTGTATTGTGTCCAAACCTGCATGTTTTTGTTTTTTGATTTTGACACAGGGTCTGGCTATGTAGTTCAAGCTGGGAACTCCCAGAGATCCTTCTGCCTCAGCCACCCTAGTGCTAGAATTACAGGCGTGTACCACCAGGCTGGGCTCTAAAACCTTTTGTTCTAGTTATTTGTTTATTTATTTATTTAGAGATAGAGACTCACTGTGTAATTCAGGCTGGCCTTGAATTCTCTTTGTAGCCCAGGCTGGCCTCAAACTCAACAGTGATCCTCTTGCCTTGCCTTCCAAGTGCTGGAATCACAGGTGTGTCCCACTACACCTGGCTAAAATCTTTTGTTCTATAAGAATTGTTAACATTAACACATTTCTTTAGTTAGTGTGCCTTTGGGAGAGGGGGAAAGGGACACACATTAGTCATCCATTCACATATATCTGTGGAGGCTGTCTTATGAAGAGTGTGGGCAGCTCTGGCTGGCTCAGTGGAACCGCTGTGCCTTGCTACCACTGTGGGGAAGTCAGTGGCACCAAGACTTAGTGGTCTCTCAGTAATTCAGTCATTCTGAAAAGAAGGCAAGAGGAGAGGATGTGAGAGAAGAGAAGGTTCCAGCTCACTTCACGTTGGCTTTTCAGTGAAGAGCTGTTCCACGAAAGCAGAGCCATTTCTTTTCTCCGTCTTAGTTCCTGTCCCCAGCATGCCTCTCACAGCACCAGGGGAAATAACAACTCCCATTCTGGTCTGCTGATCTTCTCATTTACTAATTTGCTAATTCTCATCTCTCCCTGTCTTCTACAAAAAAGAAGGAAAAACGCAACATTTCTGGAAATTCTAGAGAATCATGTTTTAGCACCATTTACAGGTGATCACTTTGTCAGCTTTGTGATATGTAACTCAAATCTAAACTTGCCTGTTTATGACCATGGCATTTAAATGGTGAGGTCCAGCAAAAGGTGAAACTCTGGAACAATTTACCGACATGACAATGAGTTCATAAAATTGTAGAGTTGGGGAAACGCATGGCTACAGAACTTTCCAGGAAATGTTTTTAATGATGGAGCAGGTGGTACCAACAAGCTAATCTTGGCCGAAAGCTTTCAGACAGTCATGTGGTACCCTGAATGCCAGCCAAATGCCCACTTCGTACTTAGACAAACTCAAATCATTTTTATTCCTACTTGTACAAATCTGATCATATTCCATTTTTATATTGTATTCTCTTGAGCAGGCACTTACATTTTTTTACCTAAGAAATAGAATACATCAGACATGTGCTCCCCCTTATAGCTTCTCTCTCTCTCTCTCTCTCTCTCTCTCTCTCTCTTGGTCTTTTGAAACAGGGTCTCACTATGCAGTTCAGGCTTGCCTCAAACTCACTTTGTAGCCCAGGCTGGTCTCGAACTCACTACGATGCTCCTGCCTCAGCCTCCTGAGTGCTGGGATTACAGGCAAGCTACCATACCCGATTTGGTTTGGGTATTTTGAGAGAGATGAATGACAGTGTGTCTTTTATCAATAATTTTTTTTTTTATCTTTTTGAGACAGGGTCTCGCTATGCAGTTCAAACTGGCCTTGGGTGCCCAGGCTGGTCTCAAACTTGCAGGGATCCTCCTGTCTCATTTTCCTGTGTTGTGATCACAGGTGTGCGCCACCACACCTGGTTTTCAATTTTTTTTTTAATTTAAATTTTCACTGTCATTCCTTGTTTACAGCAATTTCTGTCAAATAAAAACATTACGGTGTTTTCTCATCCACCTTATTTAGAAGCTCTGCTACCATGCAACTTCTAGCTTTTCCTGAGTCAAGATGACTTTGAGAGATAAAGGTTTTGAATCCTTTTTGTACAGTGAGGTAGATACAACAGCACAACTAAAGACACAAAAGATCACCTCCAGAACTACTTCAGAGAATATCAAGGATGGGATAATTGTGTTTGAGGCAAGGGGGAATGTTTGGGGGGACATTAATGGTAATATGGCTTTTACTGTAATGAAATTTTACTGTACATGTTTATCATATTTTGAATTCTGTACATAACTTTCTATAACACGCTTATTTTTTTTTTGCTCAGCATTGAGATTTATCCACATTTAGCTATAATCCTTTTCAGCTGCTGAATAGTATTCTTTTGTATAGATACTATCAAATGTCCTATTGAAAGGCATTGGGGTGGTTTGCAGGTTTGCATTTTTTATTTGTTTGTTTTTGGTTCTATGAGACAGGGTCTTGCTACTAGTCCAGGTGGTCACAAACCACTCAGGTGATCCTCCTGCCTTAGCCTCCTGATATAGGCCTCCAGATTATAGTTGTGCGCCACCATGCCTGCCTACGTTTGATTTTTAGTGTCAAACTTATCCATCTTTCCTTGTGTGGTTTACACTTTTTGTGTCTCATTTAAGAACTTCTCCAGGTGCAGTGGGAGAAAGGCAGAAGCACCCAGTGCCCGGGACTGGTGAGCCTCCGGGCATTGCCACCATGCCGAAGAGAAAGGCCAAAGGAGACACGAAAGCAGACAAAGCTAAGGTGAAGGATGAGCCGCAGAGGAGGTCGGCGCGGTTGTCTGCTAAGCCTGCCCCTCCTAAGCCAGAGCCCAAGCCGAAGAAGGTCCCTGCGAAGGGGGAAAAGCAGCGCAGAGGGAGGAAGAGGAAAGCAGGAGAGGGCAAGGGCGGGCACAGCCCCGCCGGGAACCCCGAGGGCTCCGCCGTGCGCTCCCAGAAGGCGGCCGGCTCGGAGGGAGCCGAGTGAGGGTGCGCTCTGCACAGCCCTGCCCTGCCAGTGACTCAGCAGCTAGAAATAATACTATTTTTAATCGAGTTTTACAAACGTGTAGAACTTTGATGCTTTTTAAGTTGTTAGCACACAGCCCCCTTTGTTGTCGCGTGGAAAGGGGAAGGAAATACCACTGTTAGATTGCTGTCTGAGACGCTGGACCGAAGCGGGGAGCTCGGATTTTCTGTCCTGGAGGTTGAAGATCATTCTTGGTTCCCAGGAAAGAAAGAGTCTGTCGCTGCCGCAGGAGCCTTACAGTGCGAGGAAGATGCTTGGCGTCTCCTCCGCCCTGCGGCCCTCAGCACCAACGTGACTGCATTAACCAAGAGCCTTGGTGTGGCCTTGGCACCCTCAGATCGCTGTGGCAGCTCCATGTACTCAGCCTTCCTGGTGTCATCTCGAGATGGTGTCGCTCATGGGCCAAGATTTCTGTCCTTTGGCTGTGGCACTCTGTTGAGGAATCTTGTAGGTCTTAGCCCAAGTCCTTTCATGGCAGAGTGGGCCCCTGAAAAGCTCCTGTGTGCCTCCTGTGCCAGGTCCACCCCTGTGTGAACTTTTCCCTTTCGGAGCTGCAGCAAATGGCTTTGTCGACTTTTACAGCGGCTTTGCGGGAGGGCAGTTTGGAAGTTGTAAAGCGCTGTAGATTGCTGCCCACATCTTACTGGGAGGAACTGTTTATAAAGCACCTTCTAAAGCTGGATAGAAGTTGGCTTGAAGAGATCATTCCCTACCCAAAGTCTCAAGATATTCTTTACTGCCCTGAACTGATTTTTGTGACAAGTGTAAGGTAGAAATTCATCCTAATATTTTTTTCTGTCTGGGTAAATATTAGTCTCAGTGCCCTTTATGGAAAAATTGCTCTCTTCCCTATTGATCCCTAACACTGGCTCTTTCCTAATCCAGTTTTTGTGCTTCTGTGGGTCTGTTAATATCTCCTATCAGTTTGTCTAACTTTGTGGCAGTACAATACAGTCCTAATTACTATAATTTCAGAAAGCAGTCTTAATAAAAACCAAGATGCCTCTACATTTTATTGTGACATTGACCAATCCCACCCCTAATATCATCACCAAATCTGTCTTTCTTGGGACTGTCTTGTAGCCTTTTACTCATTTGTTCTCCCTGACAACATCTAGAATTAGGTTGACAAGTTCTAAAATAAAATACATTGCAATTTTTATTGTATTTGTGTTGACTCTATAGATTAATTTGGTGAGTGATGTTACCTTTAAATATTGGATCTTCCAATCCATGAACATGGTAGCTCTCTATTTATTTAGGCCATTTAAACACCTTTCGATAATTTGATTACTTTCTTCATAAATGTCTTTTGTTCATATTTCCTAGAGAATTTGTATTATTTAAAGTTATTCTATATGGCATGTTTCAATTACATTTTCTAGTGTTAGCTAATGTTAATTTCAGTGTTTGTATCAAGCAGCCTTGCTAAACTCTCATTAATACTCATATCTGTATATTATTCTTTATTGTTCTTTTTTTTTAATTTTGAAGATAGTAAAATACAACAGAACAAGACAGAATAAAGCCAATCAAGACAATGCAGTGAAATTGGTACAGAACTTCACAACAGGTAACCAGGATAACAGTAATAGGTACCATAGTATATCTCATTATCTTTACAATATTTGTCCTTTCAATCAGGTATAGCAAAATCAAACCAAATACAGAACATTATAAAACCTATTAAAACAGAGTATTGAATAGAACAATACAATTAATCAGAACAAAACAGTGATAAAAATATTTGCCTTCAAAGAGACAGTAGAAGGAAATCCCTCATATTTGCTATATTGCCTACAGTCATCCTCTCAAGAGATGCTCAGACCTCTGCATCCCAATTTCTAATGGTGGTGATAGGGAGAATGTTTGATTCTCAGTAGGTTCATGGCTGCCTACCAGGGAAGGGAGTGGGTTGCTTTGTTGCCCAGCATCCTAAGTTCCAACATGGCATGGATCTCAGGAGACACTGCCTGGTTCTCTCCTGCAGTCGCCCCACATCTGTATAGTCTTGTGATTTTTTTAATCTCAGGCCTGCTTGTGAGTTTCTACAGGTAATTGTATGTCCTGTGTATACATTTTTTTCCTCAGTCCTTATGCCTTTTATTCTTTCCTCTTTCATTTTTTTGGACAGGGTCGCACTGTCCTCCAATTCATTATATAGCCTCAAATGCATGATTCTTCTGCCTAAAACCCCTTTGGCACCTTGCCTGCTTTCATTTCTTTATAGTTCAGGTAATACGGATACTGTAGTAAACAACAGTGTCTGTCCTCTCTTTAGTTTTATGTTATAGATTGGAAGAAAGTAGAGAAAATGCACATATTTATGCAACAGGGGAAATTAGGTAATGTAGGTCTATGCTATTTAGAATGTTAGAGGAAGTCTTTGATGAGATGACATTTGAGAAGACCCCTTAATGAAGTAAAAGAGGATGGGCATGGTGCCCCATGCCATACTTCCAACAGGAGTTCCAGGCCAGCTTCCACTGCATAGTGAGACCCTGTCTCAAAAAAAAAAAAAAAGAAAGAAAAGCAATCTGAGGGGGAAATAATTCTAGAAAGAAGGATTAATGATAATAAGTGCTGAGTGGACATGGTGGTATACACCTATAATCCTAGCATTCAGGAGACCGAGGCAGGAGGATCACTGTGAGTTTGAGGCCAGCCTGGGCTACAAAGTGAGTTCAAGTCCAACTTGAACTGCACAGTGAAACCCTATCTCAAAAAGACAAAAACAAAACAAAGCAAACCAAAAAGCCAATAATAAGTGCCAATATTTTGGGTGGAAATGTGTGCTGAAGCAAAAGTGACTAAACTACTTAGGACTCAAGAGGCTGAGGGAGGATAATCACTGAAAGTTTGGGGCCACTCTGAGCTACATAGTGAGTTCAAGGCCACCCTGAACTAAGGCAAGTGAAGGATTCTGGAGGTTGTAGTTTTTCTCTAAAATGAATAGGATGACATTGGAGTTTTGAACTACAAAATTACAAAAAAAAAAAAAAAAAATTGCGTGTGTGTGTGTGTGTGTGTGTGTGTGTGTGAGTGTATGGCTGCTGGAAAAGCAGGAGAAAAACCAGGGAGACAGCCGTGATAGTCCAGCAATACACTGATTTCTTGGACCTGGGAGGAGGCAATGAAAAGGAAGAGAAGAGATGTGTGATATGAGCACAGACAGGCTTCCAAGAAAGCTTACGGGTCTCTGCCCCACCCCGTGTGTGTGTTGGAAACTTTAACCCTAATTCAACAGTGTTGAGCAGTGGGCTGAATGGGAGGTGTTTATGCAGCAGTGGTTTAGTGCAGCTGTGGGTGGGGGTGCTGTGCAGGAGTGAGTCACTTCCTTCTGCTCTTCTGTGTGTGAACAGCACTCCTGCTCCCACCCCTGGAGGACGCAGCACGGGAGACACCATCTTGGCACAGAGATCAGAACCTCACCAGACAGCAAATCTGCAGGAGCCTTGACATTAACTTGTGAACCTCTAGACCTTTGAGAAATAAACTTCCAGTAGGAAAGCAAGAAAGTGTCACGGGGAGCTGAGTTAGTTAGAAATACTATAGGAGGTCAGACGGGGCTGAGCCCTCAAAGGAGCCAGTGCAGAAGTTCAGATACCTTGCAGCCTTGCAGCCTTCAAGAGACAACCACCTCCTTGCTGTGGGCCAAATCTCAAAACAAAAGGCAAAGCAAATAAACTCACATCCTAAGGTGCAAAGGGTTCTCTACCACCCTGAGGAAGTCCCACCCTCCTACAGGAAGACTCTGTTGTCACTGGTGTTAAGCATGCGAGCTTACTGCTCCCCCATTTGTTCCTAATTTAATCAATTTTACCTGAACAATTAATCTTATTGGTTGACCACAGTTCTGTCCCGCTTTATGCTCACCTTATTTTTCCACACCTTGGGCCATCTAACCTCATGATTTTCCTCCATAAAAAGACAGAGTCCCTGGCAACTCATTCAGAAGAAGCTTTCTTTCTCTAAATAAATATATTCCACTCTTAACTGCTGTTGTTCCTAAAATTCATTCTTTGCTTTTAGAGAACAAGAACTCATACCAGCCATATTATAGGTCAGGAGTTTCATTCCCCTATATCAAAAACATGTTTGCAACATTTCCTAAGGAATTAAAGATAGTATAAGGAAATAATTATAATTTTCTTTTCTTTTTTTTTTTTTTTTTTTTTTTTTTTTTTTTTTTGTCTTTTTTGAGACAGGGTCTCGCTATGCAATTCAGGCTGGCCTTGAGCTCACTTTGTAGCCCAGGCTGGTCTCAAACTCGAAACAATCCTCCCACCTCAGCCTCCTGAGTGCTGGGATTACAGGCATGAGCCACCACACCGGGCTCTAGAATTATAATATTCTAAATTAGCATATTTTTTTTCTTTTCTTTTCTTTTTCTGGTACCAGGGATCGAACTCACGACTGCCTGCTTGCAAGGCAGGTGCTTATGCCGCTGAGCTAAATCCCCAGCCTCCACAAATTAGCATATTGATTGACTGACTGATTGATTGCTTGATTTTATTTTTTGAGACAGGGTCTTGCTGCATAGTTCAGGCCAGCCTCAAACTCATGGTGATCCTCCTGCCTCAGCCTCCAAATGCTGGAATCACAGGCATGTACCACCAAGCCCACCTTAGCATTATGATGCATGAAAATCGACTGGAAATTTGAAAAAAAAATATTTCATATTTACCAGCACTTAATCATGACTGGAAAGTTGAAGAAGGAAAAATATCTTTCTGCTTATTATGGCATGTGTCTAGATGTCCCTCAAAACATCAAATAGTCATAGGTGGGGCTTTTTAGAGGCAGCCAGATCTAGAGTGAGTGATTCTGAGATTAAGTGTGTGATGCTGGAATCAAGAGTATGTGATTTGGGGTTGGAGATTTAGCTCAGCGGCATAAGCACCTCCCTTACAAGCAGGTGGTTGCGAGTTCGATCTCCGGTACCAATAAAAAGATTTTTTAAAATGTGATTACTAAATTAGTTCACTGATTGGTTTGGTGGTTCTGGCTGTGGATAGTAGGTAGGCCCTCCCTGGGTGTGAGTGCTACCTGCCCAAAGGGCCTGCAGCCTGGAGAGAATATAAGGGGCAGAAACAGGGCTGTTGGGGTCACTTGCTCCTTGCTAGTTCCCTACTTACTCCCTTCTGCTTTGCTGCCCTCTGCCCACCATGAACTGTTTGTCCTCTGCCATTCCAAACAATTGAAACTTCTGCCAACTGTGAGCTGCAGTAAAGCTTTCTCCTTTAACTCTGGTATTTGTTACTTTGTCTCAGCGGAGAGAAAAGTAACTGAGATACAGTGCTTTAACTATTTCTACTCCATTTTACTCAGTAAAAACAAATAGTTTTTACAAATAGTAAAAACAAATACCTGTGCTTTCTCTTTGCCAGAAAACAGATCAGGGTCAAAAAAAACTTTATTTGTTCACGCAGAGCCCAAAGTCTGGGACAGATAAGTGACCAGGCAGTGGTGTGTGTTCTGTCATGACACTGCTGGAGCCCTAATGGTGATGTGATGATGAAGTGTCCTGGAACATACTGACACCTGAAGAGAGAAACAGGCTCATGGGAGTTGGTCAGGCAAGAGGAGGAGAAAGTCTTCTAGTGAGAGTGACAACACTGGCATAGATATCAATGTTCAATAAATTATTTGTCGAATCAGACAAGTTACTCTTTTTTTTTTTTACTATAATAAAAGATAGTTTCTTTTTTGTTTTCCAACAGTACTAGAGATTGAATCAACCTTGGATCTTTGTACAGAGCTACATCCCCAGCCCTTTTTAAAAATTTATTTGTTTATTTTGATGTCAATAAATTGCTAAGGTGTCAGTAAATTCCTGTTTTCCAGGCTGAGCTGGGACTTGCAATCCTCTTGCCTCAACCTCCTAGACTCCTGGGCTTGCTGGCTTTCAATCTGGGGACCACAAATTGTAAATCGACCCATAATATCTAGTATCTATCTGACCTAACCTCTCTTGGCCCTGCCTGCCTTGTGGGCAGGTTTTGGAATGCGGAACTCACCTTCCTCTCTTGGTTAATGAGATAAGCACGAGGTGTGGGAGTAATCTTGGCTTGTTTCCTTTTGACCTTAAATTTGCACATTCTACCATAGCCTCAGCAGGTTCCAGGAAAAAATCGACCTACTCCCTCCCCTACACTGGCTAATAA